CGATTACATGACTTATCAAAATAATAAAAAGCAAGAAGAATCAACTAAAAATCAATCAAAACTAACAGCTGTTTTGAATTTATGGCAAAAACGTTGCGGATGGTATGATAAAATAATAACAGACAAAGATCGTAGAAATGCATTCCAAAACAAACACTCTAACCAACATAATAGGGAATACTGTAGAATGACACGAAGTCGGTCCTGATCTCGACGTTCTACGATGGTCAACCGTGACTATGCAATAGATGATGATTCATGTGAGTCCATAGAAGATACAATGGAGGACAGACTAGCAGACATGGTATCAACCTCGTCCAGGGATAGATTTGAGACGGATATCGATTACGCTAGTGATGATGATGAGGAGGAGAAGGAAGAAAACTCTACTAGCTAAAGTCGTTCCTTTCACGATCGATCATTATATTCAAGAAGACATTCATTTAAGGATAGACTTGTTACTACTAATACGGGTAGTAATACTCAAACGATTACTCTCCAAAACTGGAATCCACAAACATCATACATGAATAAAATTAAATCAAGTACTAGTTTACAAACAGCTTATCATTTTATTTTGATATAGTATCATATTTTTTCTTACAAGCTCGTTCTTCAAATTCAAAACAATCATCAAGTGATGCATATAATCAATATTATGCACAGTCAAATTATAATATTTCAAATGAATATCAATATATTGGTTTACATATTCTTACAAGTGTTTTAGAATTAGAATTGGAATCAGTACAATTATTACGAACTGTTGATAATAAACTTGTTGAATTTGGTCTTTATAATTTAGCTGAGAATATTTTTCGATATATCATAAATTTGAGATCAGACAAGCCACAATCATTTCGAGGCCTAGCATTATTATTACAAGAATCTAATTCTGAAACAAATCCCTTATAGAAATATCAGATCTATTTAAGAAAGTTATATTTGGTGAATGGGATAAACGTTATTCAGAAATTGAAGTTACAACATTGCATGAATTGAATTGCTTCATATTTCAATTTCATCAACAACAACAAATATTGAATTCGATTGATAATCGTGTTATTCGTCATTTACCTGTTGTCTTAAGAATTGTTATGGTTTGGGATACAAATGATACAGATGTTGATTTACATGTCATCGAACCGACAGGTGAAGAATGTTATTATTCTCATAAAAATACAGCTATTGGTGGTATGATAAGTCGGTATTTTACACAAGGGTATGGACCAGAAGAATATCTTGTTCGAAAGGCAGTCAAAGGTACATATATAGTTCGAGCAAAATATTTTGCTAATCATCAACAAAGTCTAACTGGTGCAATGAGAATCATGGTACATATTTATAAATATTATGGACAATCAAATCAACAAAAACAAATTTTTACATTACGATTGAGTAGTAATAAAGAAATGATCGATGTATACAAAGTGAACTTCAATGATGATATTCAACAAATTTCAAACAATAGAGTAACGAATAATCAAAATTTAAATACGAATATTCCTTTATATGTGGCGTGTGATGGATGTGATATGTCACCAATAAAAGGAGATCGTTACAAATGTTTATTTTGTCCCGATATTGATTTTTGTCAATTATGCAAATCTATTAGTAGAACAAATCATAATTCGACTCATCAATATAATCATCCATTGTTATGTATTAAATATTCCAGTGAATATCCAAAGTCAGTTTACATAAGTAATCGTAGTTAAATTAATGATAAGAATAATCAATGTAATTCATATTTTATGAAGCCGATTATTGGTATTCGTTATAAATGTACTTGTGGAATTAATTTATGTGAAAAAAGTGAATTCATGGGTTTACACGATACAGATCATCGTCGTACAAAAATAGTTAAATCAGAATGATTCCATTCAAATTTTGACTTGTGACTTCTATTAAATAACGGATATTTAAACTAATTTTATTCCTGACTTTCTATTTCTTTGAATAAAATGGTTTTTTGATTTAAAAAGAATCAACATCTATTTTTTACAGAGAATATTTTTTCTTCGTCGAACTTCAGCTTTTAGTCTAAAATTTATCTTACAGGTTACATAGTAATAAAATACATGTTTGTTTTCTGAATATGCCACAAGACTGAATAACATCCTACTTTTTCAATTAATTAACTGAAGAGTCTTTGATGGACAAGTCGTTTTCGCTTTGGGTATTAGTGTGAATTTATATAAAACGAATATCTACACCCACAGTTTTACGCTTTTCAATTTTCGGATATAGTGTATCTTGAATTTCTACTGCTTTTTTCGCTAATTCTTCGTCTTGTTCCATACACTCTAGTACATTCAAAGTTATTGTCTTTAAAATAACACATGTATATACCAACTTTTTCCACTCATTTAAAATCTAATAATTTATCCACATTGTATAGATTAATGGACGAGTCAAACTTGTCGAATAAGATGCATTTGTTTGATAAAATCAATTGTTATCATCAAAGGACATAACTGGTAGTGTCGCAAGCAACTCCTAATTGAAGAGAATGAACAGCTGCCTATATCAAGAAGAAAATATTTAAATGAAAGTTTCAAGCAGAATAACATATGAACTGTATATGCTTCTGAACGAGAACAGTCCAATGTGGGACAATGAATTTCAAGTCGTTCGATTGAACTCTTTCGTTTCATGACACTAGCATTCAAAAAATGAAGATTAGCTTCATTGTCATACCAAAGGGAAAAACACATTAATTTAGGAAAACACGTTTCAAAATTGTTGATTGAATCTAATTTTTGAAAGTTAAAAAGTTTCAATGTGATAATACTGATTGTTTTGTGTACGATGTAGTATTCAGACATAACGAAACAATTTGTTCAGCATTGAATTTTCGAAGAATCATCTTAATAAATGCATCAGAATATTGACAAATCTCTACTTTTCTTTCATATTGATGTAGTGTAGGAAGAATATTAGTGGAAAATAGATTGATTCTATCGTTTAATGTCAGATATTTCAGTAATTCAAAAACACAATATCCCAACAAAGACGAACCTTGGGAATAATGAGATCAAAAGGCTGAAATGAAATGGATAATAAATAAATGTGAAAACCTCGGATTTAAATCCGAGAGTTATGTGTACTTCAAAAAGTGAATGAGACAAATCGGTCATCCTAGAATACGCAGATATAAAAATTAGCCTGGCAAATCCTTTCTATAAACACTTGAATTCTATTGGCTACTGCTCAACCAATAGGATTTTGGAGTGAATACAGCTCAGATTTGGACTCTTCGCCTTGAGTTATCCTAAAAAACGCGTTTTTTCCTATAATTTGATTTCTGTTGGTCAGTGGTCAACCAATGGAGCTTCAAGTCAAGTGGATTACAGATTCAAGTTCTCCATCCTAGAAAACCTCGAAGTATTATCTCGGTGATCGGAAGATAGAGCTCGAATTGGGGATCGATTAGAGCGCAGACCAAAAATAGAACCGATTTCCGTTTATTTATCTTTCCAATAGGTGAGCTAGCTTTCTTCTTTCTTTATGTTTTATATACCATTTTGTAGCTCGTGAAATTCTCTATCGAATGGTGTATAATAGTTGAGGTTATCTTTGACTATAATAGGGAAAGTGTTTTACGAAAGTGGGGATAGGTAGATTTTCCTATAGGAAGACATAGGGAAAAATGAGTATTTTCACAATAACTCAGGAAGGGCTCGGCCAATCCTTCTCATCTTCGAACTCGACCGAGATATTGTTAAGACTGAACTGTGTAGAAAATTTCATCGCGATCTGATTCTCCTTTCAAAAGTTATCGTGTAAACGGACGGCCGGACGGCCGGACACACTGACCGATTCTAGAGTGTACTCACTTTTTGAGTACACAAAAAGAAACTTCTTCATAGTTTATTCAATTTCTGAGAAATGTTTTTGTTTGAAAATTCAATCAGATTGAATAAATAACTCAAACAAGAACTTACTATAGTTCGTTCATTGTCATGAAATTCTTCTTTGAGTATAACCAATTCATAGAGTACATTTTCTCGACTAGATTTCTTTAGAGTTTGTATCAAAGAATCATTTTCCAACAATATTTTGATCTGATATTCGGATATGAACGAATCATATTGTCTTTCAACAACTAGTCGCATACTTCTAATGAGCATAGGATACTGATTGCTTCATGTCAAAGCTGAGAGAGGGTGTAGATGGTTGTGTGAAAATATTGATTTCTTCCACGTCCACATCCTTCGACAGCACGCATTTGTTTAAGAAGAGATAAATAGGGTGGGTGTAGGGTGTGGGTGTGGACTGAAGTTTCACAAGCACCTTCACCCACACTCAAACTACCCATCCACACCCCTTTACACTCACACCATCCACTCACACCCACACTCTCGAGAGATGATATATGAACTTGATTATTGACGTTTTGAATGATTAATTCTAGTAGTGGTTTAGGGTGGGTGTGGGTGTAGCATGACTAAAACACGCACACCCACATCGATACTCACACTCACACCCTCAATGCGTTACTTATCAGTTGTCTTTGTTTATCTGAAATAACAAAGAAGAAAAGTATAGCAGCTAGATAATGTTTGAAAAGATGTTGTTACTCATCTTTATCTCCCTTTTTTATCAGTTGCAAAGTGTATATGTCGTTGATAACAGAGAATCTGAAGAGAACAGTGTTCGCTATAGTCTTATTTACACCTTTTTGCCTTCTTCATACGCAGAAACATTCTACATCTCGCACAAATCTCATTTCAGTTTTAATATGACAGCAAAATATCTGAATAACCAAAAGAAATCTATTTCCGAGAGGTTCGTCGATGTGAATGGTGTGGGTGTGAGGTGTGGATGTGAATGAGCGTAGAGGTGCACCAAACCCAAACCCAGTCAAATCCAAACTCTGGGTTTGACTGAGTTTTATTCGGTTTGACTATGTTTAGGTTTGGGTTTGATAAGGTTTCACTAGGTTTCACTAAGGTATGACTGGGTTTGGGTTTGATGTATATCACATAAAGATTAGATTTTCGTGGATGTTTGTAAAACAAGCGAACAACACCCACGAACACCCTTAAATCGAGAGCTGATATTATCAGTAGATAGAGCTCGCCAAGTTGACTCCATGAATACCCACGAATATCCATGTCATTTGATAGTGAGTAGCCCTACTCGAGTTAGGCACATACCCAAAATTTCGACCTTTTATGTGCTTGCATAAAGAAAATAGCAGGGATCGACCTTTTCAATTTTAAACCTAGTAATCGAATTCTGAATGTATGAGCGAAATTAAAGTATGAGGCTTAAAATTGAAAAGGTCGATTCCTGCTATTTTTTTTATGAGAGCACATAAAAGGCTGAAATTTTGGGTATGTACCTAATTCGAGTAGGGCTACTCACTGTCAAATGATACGGGTGTCCGTTGATTAAAAAAATGAGTGTACATTGGAAATTTTTTTTATTGTTCAACCGTTTTGGACGTTCGTGGAGTCAATCCAGCGAGCTCTATCTGCTGATAATATCAGCTCTCGAGTTAGGGATGTTCGCTTGTTTTACAAATATCCCCACAAATCTAATCTCTACATGGTACACATCAAACCCAAACCCAATAAAACCCAGTCAAACCTAGGGTTTGAGTTTGACTGTGTGTAAGTGTGGGTGTGGATAGATGTGGGGTGTGGGTGTGTGGTAGGATGTGTGGGTGTGGGTGCCCGTGTGGATTGTGAAGTCCCACAAGCACCTATATCCACACCCATCTCCATATAATAGCCCATGAACATCTATGGGTACCTCTATAGTATAGCCCATGAGGACTTCTGGGTATGTCCATAGGGTAATCCGTGAGTAGGGTGTGGGGGTGAGTGTGGACGTTACTTAAAAGTTGAATCCATTCAATTGGAACCAGCGGGATCCAACTCCTATCTTGTCGTATCCTGTGATCGGATCCGAACTCCATAGCCGAATTTCAAACAGCCAAATTTGGGCTTTGAAACCAGACTGGAAACTACAGTATACGGCTCGTATCCTGCCACCGTCATAAGTCGCTGGAACCGAGCACTGGAAACAGGCATCCGTATCCGGCCATCGCTTCCGGACTCCGGAACTCACGGAAATTAAGCAGGAAACGGAGGCCAGAACCGATTTGGGAAAACTACCACTCTGAAATCGCTGAAAATTTATCTGATCAAGCGGTTTCCCGCCGTACGTCTTGGACCTGAGTGGTGTAGCATCTAGGGGTGGCACTTTATCTTTACTTTATCAAGTAAAGTAAAGTTGGGTTACTTTACTTTACTGGGTAAAGTAAAGTAATCCTACTTTACTTTACCGGATAAAGTAAAGTTGATCTACTTTACTTTATCGAGTAAAGTAAAGTAAATATACTTTACCCGAAAAGTAAAGTAAAGTAAAGTAAAGTAAAGTGAAGTATCTCTAACTTTATCGAACAAGCAAAATATAGTAAAATAAGATTAAGAAAAGTATTTAGTTGATGGTTATTCATTTCTTAGTTTATTATCATACATTAATCACACTTTAATATGTGAAAAGTTGCGTGAAATTACGGATGAGAAGCCCCAAATTGTTTAAACCTGATTTTATTACTTTGAAAGTCAGCATCGAACTCTCAATATTCTTCATAATTCTGTATTTCACATGGTCACAACTCAAATTTTGATACTTGAGGTCCCCTCAGGTATCGAAAAAACAATTCTCTGGCTATTCAATTATAAGTCTTTGTAATTCAATA